CCCCTCCCGTTCCCCCTCTCCTTTCCTTCTAGAGTGGTAGTATAGTAGTAGTAGTAGTAGTAGTAGTAGTTGTAGTAGTAGTAGTAGTAATAGTACTACTAGTACTAGTACTAGTAGTAGTACTACTACTACTACTACTACTACTACTACTACTAGTCTAGCCTAGTAGTAGTAGTACTAGTCGAAGTCGTAGTAGTAGTAGTAGGAGTAGTAGTGTAGTAATTAGTAGAATAGTAGTTTAGTAGTGTAGTGGTAGCAGTTGTAGTAGTAGTAGTAGTTAGTACTTAGTAGTAGTTCAGAAGTAGTAGTAGTAGTTGTAGTAGTAGTAGTTAGTCGTAGTAGTAGTAGTCGTTGTTCGTAGTCGTAGTTGTAGTAGTAGTTAGTAGTAGTAGTAGTGAGTTGCAGTATAATTGTAGTAACAGCAGCAGCTGTAGTAGTGGTAGTTTGTGGTGGTGAGTGGTAGTAGTAGTTGCAGTAGCTGTTGAGCGGTAGTAGTAGTTGTAGTAGTAGTAGTAGGTAGTAGTAATAGGTTTAGTCGTAGTTGTATCAGTATAGCAGTAGTATAGTTTCGTCGTCGTGTAGTAGCAGTGGTAGTAGTAGTGTTAGTAGTGGTAGTGGTAGTGGTAGTGGTAGTGGTAGTGGTAGTGGTAGTGGTAGTGGTAGTGGTAGGGGTAGTGGTAGTGGTAGTGGTAGTGGTAGTGGTAGTGGTAGTGGTAGTGGTAGTGGTAGTGGTAGTGGTAGTGGTAGTGTAGTAGTAGTAGTAGTAGTAGTAGTAGTAGTAGTAGTAGTAGTAGTAGTAGTAGTAGTAGTAGTAGTAGTAGTAGTAGTAGTAGTAGTAATAGTAGTAGTAGTAGTAGTAGTAGTAGTAGTCGTCGTCGTAGTAGTGATAGTAGTAGTATGCGTAGTCGTAGTATTAAGACTAGTAGTAGTAATAGTCCAGCGATTGACTTTTCGGGGCCATGATGCGTGGAGGACGCCCATGTGAATGTGATGAGCCCGCGCTACTTGTGACCATGCATATGTATATGTATGTATATATGACTAACATGTGTATGTGCACATGCGTTCTTACAGTTATTGCAAATCGCACCCACTCCAAACACAACCATTTCCTTGTTGTTCAGAAAGGAGACGCACTCGATGTTTTTTTGGCGCAGTGCCTTGTTCATGAAGTGTGCCCGCCGAAAGAAACTCAGCGGAAGGCCTGGGTTCTGGCGCCTGGGGGGCCTCCGGGCCGATTCCGACGCCCGGGCTGGCGCCAGAGCCACCGGGCCAGACGCCCGAGCCGGCGCCCGGGCCGCCGAGCCGGCGCCCGGGCCCCGGCGCCCGGGCCGGCTCCGGAGCCGGTTCCGGCCGGCGCCGGAAAATCGAGTTCCGAGGCGGCGCCAAAAAAAGGCCATTCCAATACACATTTTTCTTTTGAAAATGCTGAATTTCTGCTTCTGGCGCCCAGGAAGCCTCCCGGGCCGATTCTGGCGTGCTTCTGCTCGTTCCGAATCGCGCTCCCGCTGCAGCGCTGGCCTCATTTCCGCGCTTCTGCTCGTTTCGACTCGTGCTCCCGCTGCAGCGCTGGCGTCATTTCCCGTGCCATGCCACGGCATGCAATGCAATGCTAGGTTGATACTACGCTTCACGGTGCTCGTCTACGCCATGCCACGCCGTGCTCTACAATGCATCGCGTACCCTTTCGGGATCATTGCCCTGCTCGACATCCGACTGTGCGAGTAGAGAGGGGATCTGCGCCATGGTAAGGGATGGGAGGGAGGGGTAGGATGTCAGATATTACGCGAGCGCACCTAGCTTGCCCTTCCCCCCTCTCCTCCCTCCCCCCTCCTCCATCCTCCCTCCATCCTCCATCCTCCATCCTCCATCCTCCCTCGCCCCTCTTCCCTCCCCCATCCCCCCCTCATTCCTCCCCCTCGTCCTCCCTCCCGCCCAGCCCTCCTATCTTCGTCCTGTCGGACCGAAACGGCAGTGCGGAGTCTGCCATCAACTGATTCCTTGTTGCTCCCTCCTCGGATTCTGCGGGACACCCTGCCATGCGCCTGCACAACGTGAGCCGCGTCAGGAGACGCAGGTGCCGCGCACGAGCCGGGAGCCCCAGCGGGGGGTGGCAGCAGACATCCACCCCTCCCAAAAGTGCGGGTGGGGGGGGCTGCCACGAGCGCGACCGAGTGGCCACCTTAGGTTTCAGGTGGCATCTGAAGAAGCGTTGCCCAGGCAAGACGGCCAGGGGGCAAGACCATGTGTCCAGGATTGCCAGGGAGGGAGGAGGGAGGAGGAAGGAGGGAGGAGGGAGGAGGGAGGGAGGAGGCGGGAGGAGGAGGGAGGAGGGAGGAGGGAGGAGGGGCTCTACCCCAGAGGGGAGGGAGCCCCCAAGGCGGTCCGAGCTGACTTGCTAATTACGCTTGCTGGCCCAGAGAGCGAAGGCGGCCAGCGGGCCGCCAATCGCCGAGAGCCTCCTTCTCCTCCTCCTCCTCCTCCTCCTCCTCCTCCTCCTCCTCCTCCTCCTCCTCCTCCTCCTCCTCCTCGTCCGCACGCGAGATCTACTGTGGTCCAGAAGGGGGATTGGCCAGGAACGAGAGCTGCAGAGTTGCCGACTGCGCCTCTCGAGCCAGAGGAAGTGGCAGCAGCGCGGCTGTTCGACGCGCGCGTGGACCAGGCGGAAGGAGGTAATCCGAGCAAGGTACTGGCAACGGCCCCCTCGGAGAGAAGGCGACCTGACCCTGGTCCAGCGTTGCGCCGCCCCCCGCGGAAGAGAAGTCTGCATGGAGTGTAAAATAAGAAGGCACCAGCTGTGTCTGGTTTTGGCTTCGGCTCGCGTGCAGGGGTGGTTCCACCATGTCTCGCGCGTGCTGCGCACCAAGAGGCGCGCTGAAATCTCCAGACACGGCGCACAATATGTTTCTACTTCGCGCGCGCGGAGCGGCCCCTGGGGGTCCACGGACGAGAATTAACCCTGGGCGGTTCCTGGCCGAGTCGGGGCACAGGTGTTTTTTCTCTCCTGGGCGCCGCCCTCGAGGCCCTCCAGAGAGCCCCAAGAAGGGCCACGAGAGCCCCCAAGAGGCCCCCAAGATAGAACAGGAGGGTTCCGATATGCCACAAGATCGCTCCAAGATGCCCAAGATTGCTCCCGGACGCACCCAAGAGGCCTCCAAGGGCACCCAGGGGGTCCCCAGAACCCCCTAAGAGGCCGCGAGAGGCCCCCCACAAGGCGGCCAGGAGGCCGCGAGGAGGCCCCCAAGAGCCCCAAAAAGGCTCCAGGTTGAGATTAAGTCGGGCGTGTCCCCCTACAGGGGAATTTTCGACGAAAAATAAAATATGCTCAAAAACATACTCCCAAATTGTCAAAAAATACCCCCAAAAAATAGTCCCCATACTATGTTCACTGTTTCCCTGCCTAGGCTCTGCCTAGAAAGGTTCTTACTCGCTTGGCTTAAAGGGGCGATGTAGATGTAGGTGTAGATATAGATGCAGATGTCAAGAACTCCCCAGTGCCCCGCCCTCATCTCCGTGCCTGCTTGCTTTTGCTGCTGTCTCGGCGACTTGCTGCCTGCTTCTGCTGCTGCTTTACTTACTGCGTGGCGTCGGCGGTTCTGGCGCTACTACTACTACTACTACTACTACTACTACTACTACTACTACTACTACTACTACTACTACGACTACTACGACTACTACGACTACGACTACGACTACGCTACGACTACGACTACGATCTACTACTACTACTACTACTACGACTACG